TCCACCTCCTCCACAAAGTCCTCACCACTCGCATCCATTAATCCCTACACCTCCTCCACAAAGTCCTCACCACTCGCATCCATTAATCCCTACACCTCCTCCACAAAGTCCTCACCACTCGCATCCATTAATCCCTGCAACTCCTCCACAAAGTCCTCACCACTTGCCTCCAATAATCCCTGCAACGCCGCCTCCTATTCCTCACTACCCGCATCCATTAATTCCTGCAACACCTCCTCCACAAAGTCCTCACCACTCGCATCCATTAATCCCTGCAACTCCTCCACAAAGTCCTCACCACTCACATCCATTAATCCCTGCAACAAGTCCTCACCACTCGCATCCATTGCCTCCATTAATCCCTGCAACACCTCCTTCCCATAGTCCTCACCACTCGCATCCAATAATCCCCGCAACTCCTCCACAAAGTCCTCCCCCTTCGCATCCATTAATCCCTGCAACACCTCCTCATATTCCTCACTACTCGCCTCCATTAATCCCTGCAACACCTCCTTCCCATAGTCCTCACCACTCGCATCCAATAATCCCCGCAACTCCTCCACAAAGTCCTCCCCCTTCGCATCCATTAATCCCTGCAACACCTCCTCATATTCCTCACCATTCGCCTCCATTAATCCCAGCAACACCTCCTCCCCATAGTCCTCACCACTCGCATCCATTAATCCCTGCAACTCCTCCACAAAGTCCTCCCCCTTCGCATCCATCAATCCCTGCAACACCTCCTCATAGCCCTCACCACTCACATCCATCAATCCCGACAACTCCTCCACAAAGTCCTCCCATTTCGCATCCATTAATCCCTATAACCCCTCCACAAAGTCCTCACCACTCGCATCCATTAATCCCTGCAACACCTCCACATAGCCCTCACCACTCTCATCCATTGATCCCGGTCCATACCCCACCACCCACCATTTCACCCTCTCCTTCGCCTGAAGCTCACCTCCCGCATCACCACCACCGTCACCATCACCATCACCACTATAGCAAACACCATTCTTTACCCCCATCCTCGGCAGTGCCGATCCCTTCGCCGTATTTAACCCCTCCTTTCCACTTCGGTTCGCCGCCGCCTGTATACCATCCTTATCCTCTCTTCCCTCCTCACAACCCGATCATTCAGCCACCAGCTGCCACGCCATCTAACCTTCCTTTCAAATTCACAGGCCCACCGCCGCCAAGGCGATATGGCCCGCAGGTTCGTCTGCCACAGTTCTAGCCTGGGAGGCCTTGTGTCGTGGTTTCCTACAGTATGGCTTAAGTTTGAAATTCGTAGGAGTCGTTGATAAAGGAAACAGTGTGCGCAGTAATAGTTGAAATAATTAAAGAGATTTATATCTCTTTAATTTGTGTTTGTTTTTGCTCCTAAGTAAAAGTCAGAGGTCAAAAAAAATACAATATGTTTAGAATAAGTCAGTCGGGATTCCTGGAAAAAATATAAAGTGCGGTTGAGTATACTTGAGATATAATCGGGTTGTAACTTGGTGTACGCCCCTAATCCTCACACCGCATGTAATATTTTTTTGGATTCCTAAGAGCTATTGGTAGTTGTAATGTTATTTTTTTGAGTTGAAATACACAAATTTGGACTTTTATTAGGCGCATTTACATAAATAGCACAAAATTCTCATGTATTTATGTATCTCACATCTAAAAGTTTATATTTAAGCACTCCAATCTTTAATAACACATAAAAATAGTACTATTATCATTTTTGTGAATAAAATATAAATTTTGGTGCATAAAATTTAAAACATCAAAGTGCCATGTATGTAAATATAAAAGTTTTGTTGTGAGATATGTAATTCATAAGAATTGTGTGGTATACTGATATGTATTTACATACCTATGACCTAACACACAACTCTTAATTATTCAAATATCTAACATCTAAACTTTTTTATATTTACGGTTATATACATGAAAATGTGAACTCGCTTTTAAAAAAATTAATAATCATGGTAGTTTTGATGTGATATTTAGGGGATTTTACCTAATTCACTAAACCAAGTATATGCATATATATCATGCATAGTTACAAATATATATTTCGTCCAATCTCAAGCTTTCTAATCAATCAAACCAAATTTGGGTCAATTAAAAGACAATTCAAACTAGATTAGACATAACATTTGGCTAATTGAGTCAAACACATGGCCATATTAGTACTAGGTGTTGAATCGAAATTTATTTGTAAGTTATGCCTAAATCTTATTACCGCCAAGAAAGATTAGAAAAGAATTTAAAGGTAGATCAGGTAAAATCCCCTAAATATCTCAAATCCAAACAAGTACATAGTAAAGACGCCCCTTCAAATAGAAAAGATATCCTCCAAAAAAAAAGGGAAAGTCCTTAGAGAGAGGATTTGAATATCAAGAAGAGTTCCCAAAGGAACCAAGAATCCCTAAGCTCTCCCCATTATCTCATTCTTATAAAGGAATATAAGGTCTCAAGTGCTGCCGTAAATGTTACATAATCAACATTACATAACAGGAGTTCCCAAAGGAACCAAGAATCCCTAAGCTCTCCTCATTATCTCATACTTATAAAGGAATATAGGGTCTCAAGTGCTGCCGTAAATGTTACATAATCAGCATTACATAACATAAGGTATACAGCCTAAAGATAAACTCGGACTCGAATTGTGGCGCATAAATGACCATTTCAGCAGTCTTACTCAAAACATGTACTCGACAACTGGTACTTGACAACTCGTACTCAGTGGTATTAGACAGCTCTACATGACAAGTGGTACTTGTCGCTCTGTAACCCTGTAGTAGATAATAAAAAAATAATGAAAGACTATATTTCACCTAAATTAGATCCCCGAGTCCTAGTGAAGCTTCAGTGAATTTGAAGGATTTCTTTTCTAGCACTTTTATTCGGTAACAAATAGCAACTTTTCAGCACTATAGCAAATTGTGAATGATTTCAAGAGGTATAGCATATAGAATGCGCAACATAGTACATAGAATAAAATGCCTCACTGACATCTTTCTGAGAAGGGAGCATTTTTTCCATTCCATAGAGTAGTCTGCGCAGCTTCTGGTTTGGCTATAAATAAGTATTCAGAGAATATGCGCAGCTACAGTGAATCTTGTTCCACGACAAAGAATTAGCAATTAATTTAAAACGGTTACAATTATCAGTAAAATTTGTCACAAATCCCTTTAGATACTGTTTTTTTCAAATTTTACAAATTTATGTGGTGAGAAATATGTTTTTCAACCAAAGCTACTAGAGCGTGACTAAGAGAAGAAAACTGTTGCTTTATTTTCGTCAATTGAAAAAAAAGAAGATATTCATAACCAATTCCTTACCTGCCCCGCAACACAATTAGAACTACATTTAACAACAAATGAACCAGCCCCAAAAGGTATATTGGTTGATAAAGTAACCATGAATGCTTGATGGTGAGGAAGCATTTAAAATTCATCAACACAAGAACTATTTTTCATCAAAATCTTTAAATAATCTCCAAAAGAAAAATGTAAAATTTTTATTTAGGAGAAACTGCCTTAACATTAGAATGAGCGTCATTATCATCAAAGAATTCCTCTATATAAATAGGCTCTAGCTCTGCTTTATATATATACACAAGATCAAAAAGAAAAATGACATTCACAACAGAAGAATACTCACTGCAAACTTTTCTCTTCGGTTTTGTAATATGTAGGCCAGAATCCTCCTGGTCATGAGAACCTAACTCCAGCAATGTTACTTGAATATCTAACGAAATATGAGGAAAAAAGGCAAACTTTCAGTGAAACTGAGGCAATGGAACAAATAAGCAACAAAAATAAGGAAAAATATACACAGGCTTATTACAGGTAGCATAATAACAATATCACAGCATTAGTAAAATATACTTGTGAAGAGGTCCATTGTAATTGGAATCACACTATGAATCTAATGTTAATAACGGATCAAATTTATCAGCCATTCATAAAAACAACACTTTTTTACTAACAAAATTTTTAACCACATCAGTTCAGCTTTCAATCAACATTAAGATATAAGGATTAGGCATGCCAAACTGAATGGAGACTGCGCAAGTGCCAATGATGAATAATACATGTTATGTGCTCTATGCATTATGGCACACAAGCACATATTATTTTGTTTTCTTGCACCTTGCTATGTAAATAGCACAAGAAATACGATGAGATATGCTATGGGCTATAACCATACTATATTGCACTATTGACACTTACGAGAACAATGATAGAAATCACCCAAATGGAAGATCCAAGTCTCATGTCGGTACAAATAGACTCTCAAAAATATTTGTTTTTCAAAACCTGTGAAACAATACAAGAACACGTATTCAAACATCACAAAAAAAGAAGAAATTGGAAATTTATACAATTCTCATAGTGCAATCATCATTGCATGCTTTAAAAGTTGTATTATGGATCACAAAAAGTCCCAAAATAAATAATTCCTCTTTAAGATAAAATTAAAAATAGCAAGTTCCAATTCTCACATCACTTAAATAGCAGAAATCAACATTAGATTTCAAATTCATCCTTACAAGGAAAATAAGAGATGGCAAGTGAGCAGCTAAACCCGATTTCGGGATTTTACCAGAAACCACAAAAGAAGACCACAAAAATTGTATCAATCAGTGACGTATAAGGCTCCCTGGTTTGTGGCTATGGCAATAAGGTGCTCAAGCAATAGCGGTGCCATAGAAATTAAAGAGTACTATAGCAATGGGAATAAGCTGTTATTGCATCCTTATTTACATCATACTCCTAGGCTTGAATTTTTTTTACTCCTAAAGAAATAAGAATTCTATATTTATTTTGCAAGCTTGGGCAAAGTTATCATGCTTCCTTCAAGGTCAATTCACGTAGAAAAACTTATGGTATTTGCCATCAGTATCGAGCAAAATTCTTGTCTATGGAATAACATAAATAAATGCAGTGTTGACCTCATTTTTGAGGTCTTCTTTTCCCTTCTCTAGATATCCTAGGATCTAGCCTTAAGATCTCCCTATTTTGACTTTTTTAGAGGACTGGACTGAGACTCACCCCCCTTAGAAATTCAAGTCATTTCTTCACTCATTGCAGTTTCATATAGACGGTTTCAGATCCTCAACATTCGATTGAGTCGATCGAAAAGCCGACATATTGAAGCTCAAATTGAGCTCCTATAGAAATTTGAAAGACGTAGGTGGACACCGTGACGCGTGCGATGTTTGATTTGCCACTGCAAGCGATGTGTTTGACTTTGGTCGTCGCTTATGTGAGGACCGGTCAATGATATACTCGTTAAACGGCTTTAATCGGGTTAAACGGCTTTTCTCGAATGGATCTGGTAATCCCCTATTTTGAATCTTGATAAATTTCTTTGCCCTTTGAGATGTTTCTCGTTACCTCCCTTTTCCTCACCGTCGGTGAACTCCTTTGCTCTCGCCGGCTATAAATACCCCTTTGAGGGAAGCATTTAAGGACTGATTTTTTTTTTTCTGGAGATTTCAGGGGAACATAGATTGAAAGCTTTTATTAGACTATTTGAAGATTTCTTTTGACTTGAGGTTTTCTTTATGAGCTATTCAGAGAGAGTTTCGGGATTGGATTTTCTTTTCGTACACTGAGGAAAGAGTTCGATTGGCTGGCAATTTTGCGATTTTCTTGCAATTTCTTTCTGGATTAACTTATTTCATTCGTGGGATCTGGAGATTATTTTGCTTATTGTTTCTAAACATTCTTACACTTTCTGGAAACATTTGGAAGTAAGTTCTCTTCTTCTTCTTTGCCCTTTTCAAGGGATTTCCCTCATTCGATGTTCTACTTCCTAGCAGTTAAGAACATTTCTTCTCTTGGTACAAGACACTGGAAATAGTTAAGTCTCCATTATAATCAAGTTCACAAAAAGTTCATCTTGATTACATGAATTGTGCTTTATTTGGTGTTAGTTCTTTTAAAGCATTGCAGATTTCTAAATAACAATGAAAAAGACAAGAATCTACTATTTCAAGTCTTTCTTCGGCTATCAATTAGTGTCTTTAATACTGATGTGATTTTAATTCAATAAATCATGAAAGATCTCACAATCTTTGTAGATCTGAAGCCTTCTTTGCTCAGCAAGTTGGTTAACCTGTTGATTAATATTTATAAAATTGTCTTATGCCATGTGATATTGACCTTGATGCATTACCAAAAGTTTTAATTAAAGGGGGAATCTCCTGCTGTCTTACTCGAGAACACCTAATTGAGCACTTTTGTTGATAGTTTAGTGGTTTTGTTGTTTGCTCTACCCGAAACCTGCTATTGGGGGTTCTTCTAAGTTAATTTGGTTATATCTCCTATTGCCTTACTCGAGACATCTATTCGGATCTTTGTTTTTTTTTAGCTTGCAGCCCTCCTTTCTGTCTGAGTTTTTTTATGGGAAATTTCTGGGATGTTTAGTCTTTGGGCTGCGGTTTCTCTTGGCTAGGAAGGTATATTGAAACTTAAAGAAGTGTTTTAGTTCTTTTGATTACCAACTTCTCGCTACATTGTTTTAACATGGAGATTTATGGATTTATTTGATTAATTGGGGCTTCTGTTTTGAGCTTCTTGGTT